TGGGCGCTGTCCCTCAGCTCTTCACCTCAAAGCTAGCGCTCTACCACTTGAGCCACAGTGCCACTTCTGGCTTTTTCTGCTTATGTGGTACTGAGGAATCGAACCCAGGGCCCTCATGCATGTAAGGCAAGCACTCTACCACTAAGCCACCTTCCCAGCCTACACATTTGAATCTTTATACTACAATAGTATTCAATCTCTTCTAGCATTTGTAGGAGGAAACAAAGCTAACAGCCACTCTGCTTAAATGGACAACAATCTGTAGGGAAGAGATAGATAGATAGATAGATAGATAGATAGATAGATAGATAGATAGATAGATAGATAGATATAGATATAGATATAGATATACATAAATAAACCTAAATATGGATGTGTTTAAATATAAATATTTATATGAACATGTACATATAAATACAAATATGTATAAATTACATCCACAGCAATGGAGGTGTGTTAGGGCATCTCTGGTTCTCTAGCTAGTGTCTTCCTGGAGGAGTGGATAGAAAAGACATGAGGGGATTTCCTCACAAGAACTAAGGGCTTACCATGTAGAGAAATTGGGATAGTGCCCTTCTAAATACAGGGAAACACAAGTGTCCTGAACTAGAAGCATAGGAATGATATCAAGAGAGCACCATGTAAGCTGGGCACCAGTGGCTCACGTCTGTAATCCTGGCTACTCTTAAGGCTGAGATCTGAGGATCATGGTTCAAAGCTAGCCCAGGGAAGGAAAGTCCATGAGACTTTTATCTCCAAGTACCCACCAGAAAACCGGAAATGACATTGTGGCTGAAAAGATAGAGAGCTTGCCTTGAGCTGAAGAGCTCAGGGACAGCGCCCAGACCCAGAGTTCAAGCCCCAAGACCAATGAGAGGGATAGAGATTGTGTGTCACAAGAGAGAGAGAGAGAGAGAGAGAGAGAGAGAGGAGAGAGAGAGAGAGAGAGAGCTCTCAATGTGCAATTCAGCAAAACCACCATATAACGTGGGTAAGGCAGAAGCTAGCCAGGTAGAAGAGAGCACACTGGAAAAGCATGCAATGAAAACTTAGAATGCCCTACTAAAGAGGAGAGAAAGGCATAACTAGATTTTTATGTGAGACTGTAAATCTTTCCTGGAACACATCACAATTTCAATGGATTTCACTGTTTTCTTTCTTGATTTTGACCAGGAATGCTAGAATATTTGTACCACCAGGTGCCATTGATCTCCTCACAGAAATGTGAACAATGTGCTCATTCCCAAATGCATATATCACTTCATGACTACTATACCTATAACATTTTTGTCATACCATGCTATTCTCTCATGCTGTACTCTGATCCCCATATGATCTGTATTTTTCAGAAGCACTGTACTGTCCTGGTCTATACACACTTACCTTGGAATTCTGGGTTAATAGCCATATACAGCAGACTCCATGTAGCATTGAAGAAGTTGTTTCAGTTGCAGCAAAGAAGAGATCCAGTGTATTGAAGATGAGATCCAGTGTATTGCAGATGAGATTTTCTTCAAGGAAAGTTGTAGAAGCCTTGTCCCCATACTGGATAGGTCAGTGTATTTAAAAAAATATATGTAATATATATATATATATATACCTATGTATTTATAGCATTTTGGGTTACTAAAACAGAGATATTTTGCCTTAGGGGAAATTTGGTAAGAAACATCTTCATGAAAATCAGTTTTCCCCTGGGTTCATTAGAATCAGCAATAACTTTGGATGTCATCCTGCTCAGAATTCTGAAGGTTGACAAAAAGTTTCAATTACTTGGGAAGATAAAAATCAAGTTAATGATTTTCTTTTTCTCTTTTTAATGATTCTATTAGCATATTTTAATTGTACTTTGGGGAGGAGCTTCATGGTGACAATATATTCTATCTAACACACCTCTTCCATCTCTTTCCTTTATTCATCTTGCTCTTTCATCAAATAATTTCAACAAGTTTCACTGCATGCATATTCATGCATATTAAGTACTGAGACCATATTCACCCTCATTTACCTGGTCCATTGGCCTTCCTTTCTTCTGATGTTACCCATCTCCCATCTTACCCTGTTCAAAACAACTGTTTTGTTATGCCTATAAGTTGGAAGAAGCTATCAGTACAGTGAAAAGAGAAGAGATGGTGAATGAGGCCAACTTGCCCCAGTCATACCACTTACTAACTCTTTGACCCAGGGCAAGTCACTTTACATTTCTCTGCTTTAGTTTTATAAAATAAAAAGGACACATATATCTTTTTTTTAATTTAATTTTATTTTATTTGTGATCATACTGTACAGAGGGGTTACAATTACATGGGCAGGATAATGCGTACATTTCTTACAGGACACATATATCTTATGATGACTTTATCCACATGTGAGATGAAAAATCCACATAAATGCTAAATAAATGTTTGCACCAATACCAGAAAGAACAGAGTAAATTCGTCTATGTACCATCTCCCCATTAACTTTTTCTACATGAATCTTTCTGATTTCACTAATCAGACAGTCATATGGGTACATGATAGTACAGACATGACTGTGTCTTATTAGCTGCTTGTGGCTCATCTACCTGCATTGCTGCGGTGACCCAGGGAACAGTCATTGCCAGGTAGGCTGAGAGTGTAGAGCTTGTGAAAGTATTAGCATACTGTTTTGCCAAATTACAGCTATCCAATGACAATGAGATGAGATGAGATGTGATGAGATGGTTTCTTAAGACACAGATTACTTTGCCTCTGATGGTTGAGGATGTTGTTCGCTTACTTATTGGTGGACATGATAACTACAATCTATCAATTATTTATATGTTCCTCATCAATGGCCCTCAAAAATACATGTCAATGATTAAGGAAATTATATGCAGAGAAAGGACTTCAAGAGTTGATGATACAAACATTGGCTAGGTTTAAAATCCAAGATATATAGCTTGAACAGTGATCAAAGCACAATAGTGTCACTGTCCATTTTCATTCATGGGTTAGCCACAGAATTTGACACTCAGGAAGAACTGCTGTTTTTGGAAGCCATGGATGACACAGTAATAGATGAGGATGTGTTTGCAAGACTGGTTTGATCAATGAGGAAACTTGAGCTAACATTTGAAAATATAAGTGCCCTTACTATGGACAGAGGTCCAGTGGTGTTCCAGCTGGTTTAATTGTGTGTGACAGCATCACACACCAAGTAAGTTTCTGTGCTCAGTTGTTGCTCCTCAACAATGTGATCTCAACAGTAGTATCATGTACTAATTTTGTCAAAAGCAGAGAGTTTAACAGCTGCCGTCTTAAGGAGTTATTGAATAATCTTGACTCTGTGAATGGTGATCTTATTTATCACTGTGAAGTGTGGTGGCTGAATCATGGGAATATATTTATGGACTGAAGGCTTAATTTCCATAATAAATAACTAAAAAAATTAAAACACAATATATAATAAAATGAATTAAGTAGACACTTTTCATTAAATGCAAAAGTACAAATGCCCAATAAACTTGGGAAAAATGTTCAATATCCTCATTCATAACAAAAAAATCAAAATTACATTGTGGTTCTACCTTTCCCCAGTTAGAATGACTATCACCAATAAAACAAATAGCAGAAAAGTATTGGTTGAAAAGCAAGCTCTTACTCAATTGTGGTGGGAATTTAGCTTAGTATAGCTACTATAGAAATCAGTTTAGAGGTTTCTCAAAAAAATTGGAGGGGCTGGGAAGGTGGCTCAGTGATAGAGTGCTTGTCTTCCATGTATAAGGCCCTGGGTTCGATTCCTCAGCACCACATAAGCAGAAAAAGCCGGAAGTGGTTCTGTGGCTCAAGTGGTACAACACTAGCCTTGAGCTGAAGAGCTGAGGGACAGTGCCCAGGCCCAGAGTTCAGGCTCCAAGACCAACAAAAATAAAAAATAGAAGTTGAACTGTCATATGACCCAGCCATGCCAGTTCCTATTATATATCTAAAAGAATCAAATAAGTTTACTATAGAAATATGGTGTACTCCTGTTTAGAATGGCACTATTCATAATACTGATTTTGCAGAATCTCCTTAGGTACCCATCAATGGAAGAATGGATGAACAAAACAAGAGAAAGGGCCAAGGCCATGAAAGTAAAATTGGGACTATTTGGGAGGAGAGGAGGAAGGGAAAATAGGATAGAGCTAGATAGTATAAGAGAATAATAGAAGGAGTGAATATAAGAAAAAGGCATTCTATGTGTGTATGGAAATGACATGATGAAACTCTTTACTATGTACAATATAATGCCCAAGAAAGGGAAGAAAAGTTTTCCACATTTGCTTCTCCAAATATATTCCTTACATCTGGTAACTGGAGTCACATTCTACTAGACCCTGAGTCCAAGGCTATAGTAGTGCTTCCTTAGAAACTGCTTTAACATGTGCTAATGAATAACTTGTGACTTCCTGAAGAAGTATGCAAGACAGTAAAGAAGTAATTTTGTACAGTTCTAACAAGGGGAGAGCTTACAAGGCAGAATGCTGGGGATTCCGCAAAATCTTATTTTAACTATGTTATATCTTTTCACTACGTTGACCTGATCTCTTTCAACAAGTCAGAAGGAAATACATTGCTATGAAAGGCAGAAGAGAAGGAGGCATATAGTAGCTTACATTTTATGCAACATTTTAGGATTCACAAGCTATGTCAAATGTATTATTTCTTTTGGCTTTGAGAGAATTTTCTTTCTTTCTTTCTTTTTTCTTTTAGTCAGTTGTGGGGCTTGAACCCAGTGAGAGAACTTTGCTTAAGGAAGGAATTGTCTTTCTTTTTTTACAACTTGTGTGAGAAGATAAATCATTGTCACATAAATAATTTGTCCAGTACCGTTTGGAGGAAGTAACAAAGCTGGGATTTCTTACTAGTCAAAGAACTCTGATGGATGCTCAGAAATATTAGCTTTTATTCCTTCCTCTGACAAAGGGACAGGCCCCAGTGGTTTCAGAACCCATGCTTTTTCTTCTCGCCTTTCAAATTCCTTCTCCAGCAGCATCATGCCCTCAGGACTGCGCAAATGAGGTAGCTGGGAGGAGAATGGGGGATGCTCATTCTAGCTTTCAGGCTCAGCTTCTCATTCTGAGGGGGTTTGAATGTAAACTTTTGCAGAAGAGAAGTAAAGAAAATAAACAGTTCAGATCTTGCCAATTGTTCTCCAAGGCAAGCTCGTTTTCCTGCAGAAAAAATTCAAAACATGAATTAGATTCATAGCAGTTTCTAGGCATTGGTGTTCTTCACTACCTCCTTCAAAACCTAAGCAGACCCTGGGCTTCACAGCCTGCCACTTGATCTTAGTCTGATATCTACCTGGCTTCACCACAGCACAGATTGTTGATCACCAGGTCAAATTCCTTCAGGGGAGAGGCCGGGCTGGGGTGAAGGGCAATGGGTATGTAGGGCAATGGATATGAGAAGCTTGAGTAGAGTGGGGGCATCTCCTCTACAGTTGTTCAAACATCATTCCATGGACAACAATGAAATGAACAGACAGTAAAGCAGAAATAAGACTTCATGGGTTCCTTAAGAGGGAACTCCAATGTATAAGCAATGGAATGTCAGGGTCCTAAAGTGTAAGTTACCTTTTTCTGTGCCTATTTCTAACAGAGACATAGAGATGACTTTTTTTAAATTACTGACTTCTCAGATAGGTCTAATGGACACCTGAAAACTAAATAAGGCTTGATGTCTCTGCCTTCATTTCATATCTCTCCTCTTTTACTGAATTTTGGGTTATATTCCAGTTCAACTCTGCACATAGACCTGTCAGTCATTTAAAGAGTCTAAAACGGATAGTCCTCCTCATCCATGTGAAGACACCAACGTATTTGTAACTAAGATATTTTCAACAAATTGACAAATGCTATCTTTTACAATGTCCTCTGGCCTGTCCCTGAAGTGGCACCAAGAACTCTTTAATCATTTCCTGATAGCCTCCAAGAACAGGGAATCTTGTGGGCAGATTTCATGAGGCAGGAGCCTCTTCATGGGAAACAAATGAAACCCTTCCAGGGTCACAGGTACAAGAGCAAATGAAGATTGCCTCTTGATAGAGGATGAGCAGAAATGCAAAAAGAACTTATTGTTCTATCTCATATTAGCCTAGAACAACCATCAGCCAGCTGACCCTCTAACATCTAAGACAGACCAACCAAAAGCAGCAGAGCCATGTGTCTGACCTCTATGCTTGTGAAGAATCATATGGTCTTACTAACACATAAGAAGCATTTACTTGTTTGTAATACAGCAACGTAGTGCCTCTTACATATGGAATAAACCAGTGAAACTCAAAGCAGAAGGGTGGTGTATGAGAAGCTGTGGTTGTCCTAGAAGACACAAGACACAGACTAGAAGTACACAAACTTGAGTTTGGCCCAGTTGTACCAGGTCTTTGGGCATATGATCTTGTAAGGAACAAGTTCTGTCTTACTTTGAGTTAGCTGGTATTAAAGGAAGAAGATAGTAGTCATTTCTCCCTATAATTATAAATGATTGGATTGCTATGGGATAGTATGAAATAGTTTATTTGCAATGGAACTCTGTGATCAAGAAGGTGAAATACAACTCTCATAGGCATAGACGAGCAAAGACCTTTTGTTATTGATGTTGCCATCTACAAATCACAAGAAAGGTTGCACTTGTATCTACTCAATTTTTTAGTTGCACACCATAGACATGGACTAACTAGATATTTTAAACATAATTAACATTAGAAAGGATGGAAGGATCTCTTTAGGAAGTACTTATAGGTCAAAACTGGATCTAGTTAAGCTACTGGCATTTAGTCATTGTTGCATGCCCAAATGGTAAGCAGGTAGTCCCTTTCCTTTGCTGCATCCTGATCTCATTAAAATCAGCTCTATTTCAGTGTAAGTGAGCAGCCTTTAAAGCGAACTTGGACCAGTTGCTGGTGGCTCATACCTGTAGTCCTAGCTACTCAGGAGGCTGAGATCTGAGGATAGTGGTTCAAAGCTAGGCTGGGCAAGAAAGTCTATGAGACTCATCTCCAATTAACCACCAAAATAGCCAGAAGTGGAGTTCTGGCTCAAGTTGGAGAGCACTAGCCTTGAATGAGAAAGTTTAGGGACAGTGCCCAGGCCTTGAGTTTAGATTCAGGAACCAGGACTGGCTGAAGGAAAGAAGGAAGGAAGGAAGGAAGAGAGGGAGGGAGGGAGGGAGGGAGGGAAGGAAGGAGGGAGGAAGGGGAATGGAGGGAGGAGAAAAGGAAGGAAGGAGGAAGAAAGAGAGAAAGAGAAAGGAAGGAAGAATGAACAAACAGAGGAAACAGAAAACCTCGATAAAAATCGAGGCAGGGTGGAGTGAGCCTGTAATCCCATTGTTTGGGAGATGGAGACAGGAAGATCCAAAGTTAAAGCTCAGCTTGGCATACATTGTAAATTCAAGGGCAGCCTGGGAAGCATAGGAATAACCTATGTCAAAGATTTAAAGCAAAAACAAACTAAAAACTCTGTAAGGATGGCAGGTGTTCAACTTCCTTTGTGAGACTCAATCAGCGATTGCTGGAAAGAGAACAAGGAGGTCATCTCCAGGAATGATAAAGTGTGACAGATTGTAAACTGACTAAGAAGTGAGGCTGGCATGGTCCAAAACAATGTCCAGTGCAGGCAATGATGGTCTGTGACCAACAGCAAAACGGGCGCACTGGACATGGCCATCTGGGGACATCCCAATGAAGACTACTGAGAGAAAAGGAGAGGGTAAAGAAAGAGCCCTGCAGTTTTTCTCATGCCCATCACAACTCACCCATTCCAAAAGGCAGAAAGGCTTCCCTCTTCTTAAACTGTCCATTCTCCAGAAAATGCTCTGGAGTGAAGGTGTCTGGGGTGGCCCACTCCTTGGGGTCCCTGTGTAGTGCAATCATATTAGGGAATATCACAGTGCCCTAGAAGAGGAAGAGGAGAATTAATGCTTGATGCATGGAGCTCACTCATGCAAAGGGTTGGTTTCCCTCTGGCTCTAAAGTCATACCCTGAATTCTCTCCATCCTCATTTTCTACTTAAATGATTGACCTGCTAGGATCGAATTCTTTTTCAGGACAACTTAGAAGGATGGATTGGAAATGCCTGCTTAGAATCATACCAGGGTAATTAGATAATTGATTCCAGAATGAGTCTTCTCTATAGGTAGTAGAGTAGAAAAAGTATGTTTCCTTCATTCTTCTCCTTCATTCCTTCCCCTCTGGGGCCAAGGACACCATTCCCAGTTGCCATGACAAGTTTAATAGTGCATGGAGATATCTGTCAAAAGGACCTGCTCTTCATTCAGGAACATGAAAAGATTCACAGAGTCACCAGAGTAAGCCATTCCCTCTCACTGCCTCATCCAATCCCATCAGCAAGGTGGTCCCAGTGCTTCACATGTCTCTTAATTCCATCTCCTCAATTCCTGTTTCCCCTTGTTACCCTGTACGCACCATGACAGAGTCCTGCAAGAACCTCATGTCACACAACCTGCTCTACACAGTGAAAGCAGGTAACTCAATCAAGTCACCCCAGCCTCCTACACACACTTCAAATTTGGAACACTGTGAAGGATTCCCATCAGTTTGACTGCAAAGTCTCATCAGCCAATCTGCTAGGAACAGTTTTCCCCACTGTATAGGGGGAATTGTGGCAGATTAATTAAAACATATAGAGCTGCTACCTCAACATGGAATCTATGAGTTGGGTTTAAATGCATCTTCGATAAAGACATTAAAGATTTTACATTTTAGTACTCTTGACAAGAATGTCAAGCAGAACTTCCTAAACAGAGCTTGCCAGATCTCACTAGTTTTCAGAGATGCTCTACTAGGCAAACTAAAAAGGGTCTATGGCAAAATCTGACAGAGAATTGCTACCTGCTCAGTACCCTCAGAGATTCACAATGCACAATAGCATAGTAAGAATACCCAGAAGGAAGACAGCAAAAATATCTCATCTTTGCTGAATGTATTTGACCTGAGAATCTTTCTTCCTCCACAGTGTTACTATCCAACTAAACACATGGAAGAAAACTTGAATAGTGTGAGTAAAAGTCTATCACTTTTCCCATCTAAGTTATTTCTTCACACAGGATTACATAAAACGTTTCAAGTCCGTGGTCTTTGATGAACTTAAAATCCACTATGAGAATGGGAGTTACCCTTGGCAGTTGGTATCCAGTCAAAGTAGTATCCACTGTGACTTCCCTGGGAGCGCCCAAGGGGAAGATATTGCCCATTCTTAGCACCTCATGGATGACAGCATTGGTGTAGGGCATGGACTCTCTGTCTTTCAAGGTAGGCTGCTTCCATGGGCCAACCACTTCATCAATCTCAGCTTGTATTTTTTCTGGAAGGAAAGGGAAAGTCCTTTAACCCTTTCCACTTGTGTGTTTTATTATAGTTTTGCAAGAACATATTGTAAGATCTCAATTGTATTGCAACTTGTGTCCAGACTGCCAAGAAATAAACTAGACCTCAACCCTTAAAAAAAAAAAAACCACTGTTTATTACAATTTTCCCTGAGCTTGGTTACAGAAGAGTAGAATAACCAGGATCAGCATGGGAAGCTCATAGTAGGAACTTACTATTTCATGTTTCTATAGCATCGTATTGTAAATTGGGTGACTTGTAACTAGTACAAGTTTAGTGATCATCATTCTTATGCATGGGGAGTTTAAGAATAATTGCCTAGTAGATATGATATGTTGCCTAGTAAGAACCCTCATTTTTACTCATAAAAATCCTCTTCTTGCCATATTCCCCCAAACTGAAGGAGCAATGTAGGTCTCTGATTGATCTTTAATAAGGGTATTATTCTTCTTCGTCTGGGCCAGCTATACCACCAAATCTCCATCATTACTCTGATAATTAGATTTAAATGTTTGAGTCTGGTGGCAAGGTCTCAAAAATTCACACCATGGCAGACCTAGAGACTCAGTTCTCAAGGGGATATATAAGAATGTACAGTGGGCAGCAAATTTGTACCCTATGTTATTCACTCTACATTATTTTGCTCTAAATTATTTCTGTACATTATTTAATTTCATTTTCCTCATCTGAATAGAGCATTTACTTCAGCTCAAGGATGTTTTGAGATGTATGGAAATTGGGATGATGAAAATAACAAATGACAAAATTTGTTAGCTCTTCTCCTATGTTTTCTTCTTTTTTGGGGGAATTTGGTAACACAGCTGAGACCTGTATTTTCCAGATGGCTTTGTGATATGCATGAAAATATAATTAAGTTCTAGTCAATAGGATGTAAGAAGTGAAGTTTCATTCTTTTTTTTTTTTTTTTTTTTTTGGTCGTGGGGCCTGAACTCTGGGCCTGGGTGCTGTCCCTCAGCTCTTCAGCTCAAGGCTAGCACTCTACCACTTGAGCCACAGCGCCACTTCTGGCTTTTTCTGTTTATGTGGTGCTGAGGAATCAAATGCAGGGACTCATGTATAGGAGGCAAGCGCTCTACCACTGAGCCACCTTCCCAGTCCCTGAAGTTTCATTCATGAAGCAAGACTTGAAAAGTGGGATGCTGATTTCCTTCTTTTTTCCCCCTACTGCATGTGGAAATGTAGTTGTCCTGATGAGTCATTTTAGTGCCAAAGGGCATTGTTCTAGACTCCACAGAGTGCCACATTGAATCAAGATTGAAGGCTGTAAAGAAACAATTCAGATGCTTTTTCCTGAGAGAGAAATCTGTGTCTGTCATTTGCTCTACCATTGAAATTGCATGTCTCATAATTTTTCTTGTTAAAAAGCTTTTATTTTTGCTGCAGGTTCTCCCAATGTACTTCTGGCTATCCCCAAACCCACAGTCCTCCTGAAACAGTCTTCTAAGTATTAGGGACCCCTGACCCAGAGGCAGAGACCAACACATGTACCTTGTCTTAACCCTTTTTTGTTGTTTTGATTAAAAGAAAAACATTTGGACATGTAGCTCAGGTTAGGCTCAAACTCAGTCCCAACTCAGTCTCCTGAATATTAAGAATCAGAACACTGTTCATTTGAACTGTTTTTAGCCTAGAGTTCAGTAATGTCATGCATGTTCACAAAGTTGTACAGTAAACACCAGATCTTCCTCATCTTGTAAGAGTGAAACCTTATAGCCATGAAACAATTCATTTTCCCTGCCACTAACTTGTCACCCTTCTATTTTCCATCTGTATAAACTTAACTATTCTATATAATTTTTTATAGAACTGGGTTTGGTCCTCAGGGCCATGTGCTTGTTAGGTAAGCACTCTATCATTTGAGCCACAGCCCTAGCCCTAGATAACACATTCTAGTGGAATATTGCAGTATTATGCTTCTTCGATCAACTTATTTACTTTAGCATAAGGTTCTTATGGTTGATTCACACTTAGCTTTTAACTGTTCTCTACAATGAATATTGCTCTGTGAATATGGGTGTAAACTTCCATCATTCAGAATGTGGAGACTTTATTCCAGAAGCTTGGTATATATCCTAATGTTTTAAACTCTAAAAAATAAATATTTAGACAAAAATGCATTTCATATCATAACCACACAGGTAAATATACAAATACAAATTATAAAGGGTACATTTATGTGTGTGTATGTGTGTGTGTATGTGCGTGTGCACACACACACATACACACAGGTACGCATGCATGCATACAGATAGCGGAGTTTGCATTCAGGGCCTCATGCTCTCAGATTTTATGCTCAAGACTGGTGCTATACTACTTGAGGCATACCTCCACTTCAGCTTTTTCCTGGTTAATAAGAGATAAGAATCTTACAGACTCTATTGTTTGGGCTGGTGTTACATCTCAATCCTCAGAGTTCAGCTTCTTGAGTAGCTAGGATTACAGACATGAGCTACCAGCACCTGGCTGTTTATGCTTTACATGTAAAAGAATTGAAGCATTATGAACAAATTTATCCTTACTGAGTGAGAAGTACTCTAATCTTCTTGATTCTATTTTTTACTCTATTTTAGGGCAAAATAATTGGCATTGATCTACTCAGTGAATTATGACTTGTTAGTAAATTGAACAGCTTGAACAGCTGTGCAGTTACAGTTCCAATCTACTGTCTGGTCAAACTGTTCTAGAACCTGAAGAAAGAAAAATGTTGGGGAATGGCTATTCTTTTTGGAAGAAAGAGGTGTATATAATGTGTGATACACACAGTAATGGAAATGCATTAGGGAAGGAGTAGAGGAAGAAAATGCTCATCACTGTTAAGCTTGTAACTTCCTGGAAGAGTGGAGAAAAATATTAAGGAGGTACTTGAACAGATTTCTGCAGAAGAGGGATAAATCTACTATATGGAGAAAATGGGAAAGTAAATTCTTGGTTAAAAGGTAAGGATACCAAAACATAGAGGCAGAAATAGGGACAATATAAGAGAATGACATGTAATTTGGAGCTGTCATGTAGAGTGGCTAAGGGTAAGGCTAGACAGCACTAGTCTAGGCCATATCAAAGAACATGATAGAACAGACTTAAGAGTTTGAACAGAATGTAGAGGATAATGAAAAGCTATTGTTAAAGGGAGGGGAAAAGTCTGACTAATTACTTACGTGAGAATGTAACTCTTCCTTGGAAACCTTCACAATACCAATGGTGAAATTACTTCTTTCATGGCTTCTTTCCCTCTCATGTCTGGGCTTCTTTTGAGCAGGGACTCTCCAATATATGTCCTTATCAAAATCCTCATAGAAAATGTGAGGAATTTGGAAATTCCAAAATTCACATCACCCCATGAGTATTATATTTCCCTTCTACTATGCTATTCTCTGTCATATTTCTGAGCGGTGTGGTCCAAGAGCGCCATTCTGTCCTGACCTAGGTACAGTTACTGCACACATACCTTGGGCTTCTTGGTAGAAGCTGACAAACAGAAGACCCCAGCGCAGTATCATGGATGTTGTCTCAGTTCCAGCAGTAAAAAGATCCAGTGTGCAACAGATGAGGTTTTCTTCATGGAAGCTTGAGGTGTTCTTGTCTGTGTGCTAGATAATACAGTTAAGTGTTGATTGGTGCAGTGCATTTCTCATTGCTTCAACACACAGGGGCTTTGCCATTTGGAGAGAATTTGGAAGAAAAGAGCTAATGAAGAAATAATTGAGCACCTTAGGAAACAACAATATAATGCATAGTTTGGGGGTCTAAAGTCTGACAAAAAACTTCCATGTGGGTGGATGCAAAGCATGGCTACTATGTTTTTTAAATTCACAGTTTGGAATAATCTATTAGTATAGATGAATGAGAATTGGATGTACATGAGATGGACATGGCTTCCAATTTTAGCAACATTATTTACTAGTTCTTAGACCTAGGATAAGTCATTTCACATTGCTCTGCATCAGTTTATAAAATAACACAGACAATCATCTCTAACAATGGTATTATTCACTATAGGAGATGCTAAAGACATATAACAAATAATCAACAAATGTTTGTGCTGATACCAGCAAGGATAAAGTGAATTCTTTGATGTAAAACCATTCTGTTTCCCCATTAATCATTTCTGCTTAAAACCGGCATCATTCCATCAATCATGTCTCTATCATTTCATATTGTTTTCCTGGGAAAGCTTCATTTGTTAACATTTATCTATGTTCATTGTTCCACATCTATATACTTTATGCTGGTTAAATTTCCTCCTTTGAAGATAAAACTTAATTAATATGCCAGTAAGGTAACAAAAGAGATGAGAGAAATTCTCTATCCTGCCCAACAGGAGGAACCCATAAACTCATGAGCCAAAGATGACATTGATTCCGTGTTGCACATTAATTAGGCCAAAAACCATTAGTCTCTTAGATCTATTTGTTTTCCTCAGTGGGAATTGAGAGATAAAGTGGGTACTTGGCTTCCTACCCAATAATAATAAAACAAAGCTCTATGACTCGTGTGATTTTTCTGTGTGCATATAAGAGCAAAGAGGAGAGGAATGGATGATTTCTTTTTTAAAAAAAGGTAGCACCACAAACAAAATGCCTATCAGTCTTTATCATTAGTTGGAATAGCTTCAGCAATTTTTAGGTAATGGTATTCTGAATTTCTGAAATTCTGACCTTTTAATTTGAAATTCAAACTACTTTTAGTAATCACCCACAAAAATGTCCACACCCTGTGCATGTTACCTGATATACCAAACAGGACTTTGCAGTTATGATTAATTTAAATGTTCTACAATAGGAATTATTCTTATAGGAGTGAGGCAAGTTAATCAGAGCCAGAGAGAGAAGACACAGATGAAATCAGAGATTAGGGAAGAGAGAAGGCACTATACTACTACTGAAGAAAGAATGTGAGCTAAGCCAAGGAAAATCATCTTTGAAGCAAGAAAATTAATGGAACAGATTCACCATAGAGCTTCCGAAATAAGCTACTTGACCAATGCCTTAACTTTAACCTAGTGAAATGGACTTTGGATTTGGTTACCTGGTTTGTAAGAAAACAAATCTGTGCTATTTTAAGCAACTAAGCTAATACTAACTTGTTGCAATTGCAAGTGGAAACTAACATAGCACTATTTGTTCTTTATAAATAAAATTTATATAAATAATAAAATAAATAAAATTTTGGAAACATTTGTTTTTCACCCACTTTTGCCATTTCATTGAGGTAAGCATCAATGAGGTCTCTCGGTTCAGCAGGATTCCAGTCTTCTTTGTGTTTTTCAATCACACGAGAAACAAACAATTTCAGTTTTTCCCAGTTGGCGAAGAGAGTCTGGTGTTGTCCAGGAAGGAATTTCATTATCCATGGGAAGATATCATAGAGCTAATTGGGGAAGAAAATGAATCAAAATAATGCACTATGGTACCATTTTCTACTTTTAAAGACAGAATTCTGCCTGCTTTACTAAACTTTCTAAACTTTAGAGTAATCTTTGATTTCTCTTTTCTCACTTACTTCTCTGTTAAACATTTGAGTTCCCTCATGCCAAATATACTGTGCTTCAGACTACTTCTCCACACCCCAGTGGCTCCCCTCATCTCTGATCTGGATGCTGTCTAGTGTTCATTGGATTCTTGATTGGATTTGTGATGTTATCACAGCTTATTTTCTATTGGGTTTTTCAGAAGAAGAATAATATAACCGCAGGACTTCAGTTCTTGACTCATAATCCTTAATGACATTCTATCATACTTGTCTTATATCATTCTTCATGCTCATAAGCCCTTTATAGCATGTATCTGAGGACCTGTCACCTCCTTTCTGTCATTTTTATGCTGAATAGTTGAACCACCGTGGTTGTAGGTCACACTGCTGACCGTTTTAGGACTTTGTGGTTGCTATTAGTTACCTCTGAAATCAGTATAACAACATGGGTCTGTCAGTAAACAGAATACTTCATTTATTGTGTGTGTTTGTTATATTGCATCTCACCTGACTTATTTATGCACCTACATCTACATTTTCTTCCTCCTGATCTGGTTCTTCTGGTCTTCCTGGGTATTTGGGTTTATAGACAGTCACATAGAGGGATGCCTCAAAAGTAAATTAGAAGAAATCACCCATGGCAGGGGTGGGAGGGAGAGAGAGAGAGAGACAGAGACAGAGAGACAGAGACAGAGAGAGAAAGAGAGAGAGAGAATAGAAGAGGTATGGGATTTTTTTTAAGTAATGTTACAGAAAATAACTGAGCAGATGAAAACTGGGAAATATAATTAGTGGCATTTGTTTCAGTCAAAGTACACTTCAGGAAAGAAAATATCATTAGACTTCAGAAAAGGAAATACTACTGGACAAAAAGACTAAGTTGTTATAGATATTCCTTTTCATTAGAAAAACATCAATGTAAGTGGGTATTCAAGTAGAAATGTAAATATGTAAAGGTAAAAATTGAGGGAAACGTAAGAAGCAGCATCTACCTCCCATCTTAGCAGGAAATACCAAACCTGAAAAATCTTGCCAGAACAATTACAATTTAGATGTCTTAAGTTTGCTGCAAAAATGGAAATGAAAAGCAGGAGCACCACAGAGAAACAAACGAGGTAGGGTTAGCTGTGTGCTATACTCACAGTATGGGAATATACTGTGAGTGATTCAGGACTGGGTTTTTGCTTCTTTTATATATGTTTACAGCTTTCAAAACTAGTGGGTCTTCTCCTAACTGAAACAATGTTTTTAATAATGTATAGACAGTGATTCAAAACTGAACCTCCTAACCAGGATTAAAACATATTCACATGTGCTGGGCGCTGGTGATTCATGCCTGTAATCCTAGCTACTCAGGAGACAGATCTGAGGATGGTGGTTCAAAGACAGCCGAGGCAGGAAAGTCCATAAGACTCTTATCTCCAAGTAACCACCAGAAAACTGGAAGTGGTGCTGTGGCTCAAGTGGTAGAGTGCTTGCCTTGAGCTGAAGAGCTCAGGGACAGCACCCAGGCCCAGAATTCAAGCCCCATGACAGACAGAAAAAAATCCACATGTGTGCATGCACCCATTTACACATGTCCATATGGAAGTACTGAGGTAGCTTCAGTCACCAGCCTAGTGAAAGAAAAAGTCCAGAGGGCTAAACTCAGTACTTGACTTCACTTTTCCTGTAACAAACAGTGTTTTCCAAATTGAGGAATGTAACTGAGAGAAAAAGAAACTGAGTAGAGTTTTATTTATTTTATTTTTAAATAATGAGATTTGAACTCACAGTTTTCTGATTACTAGATAATATTCTACTGTTTGAGCCATTCCTCTAGTTGGTTTTGCTCTGGTTATATAATTATTTATTTATTTTTGTTCTGGTTATTTTTGACATAGGGTCATGCTTTGTATCCAAATCTGGGCCTTGATCCTCCTATTTATACTAGCTTCGATGTCAGGTATATGCAATTGCCTCTAGCTTTTTCTGTTAAGATGGAGTCATAACATTTTTTTCTTGCCAAGGATGCCCTACAAACCATGTTCCTTATGATTTCTGCCTCCTGAATCACTGGCATGAACCACTACTGCTTAGTTGAGTAGAGTTTTTGATAGAATAAAATTTTTTGAGGCATATAAATTAAGGTATAGGACCCATCAATAAGTGTGGTCCAAGTAGAGTGGCACATTCTACAATGTACTTCCAGTCTACACTAAAAATCCCCATAAAACTAGCAGGGATCAATTGTAAAATGAGTTGCTGAGCTAAGAGTTCACTCAGAAGGTTCATGTGGAGAAGGGGGAAACAAATGTTCCAAGGATCTTAGAGAGAGAATTGCAACCAATAACCACAGTCTAGGTGAAGATAGGTAGATCCTGTAAAAAAATAGCATTTCTCATGAATATTAGGAATGCTTTTGGTATGTCATGATTATTCAATGAAATTATAAACAGATGGAGTTTTACAAAACTCTGTGTTCAATTCAATTTTAAGATGTTTAACTTAGGTTGGAAAACTCCCCATTTCCCCAATACCCCTAGCCCCAACCACAGCAAACAAAACCCAGGAAAAACCTATGTCTGAATCAGCAACAATATCCTTCACCAAGAAGTAGGAAGACAAACTACTGACCTGGCAGTGCAGTGATGCCTCCAAACACATGATCTCATCCAATGTCTTCAGCAGCTCCTGAAACTGATCATCCTGATAGTCATATCGCTCCCCAAAAGTGATGGAACAAATTATGTTGGAAACTGCATTGTTGACCATGAAGTGTGGGTCAAAAGGCTGTCCTAGACAGAATAAGGAAGAGATCCATTACATTGGGTTTTTGTTTCCATTCTTTATAAGAATCTAGTCTATATAAGGGAAACCTATCAGAAAACCACATAAGAGGTTCTGGCTGCAACACATTAACAGTATCTGGCATCTTGTAAGAGCTTAGTCAATGCCAGTCAAGTCAAATTGATGCTTGTTTTTACAAGTGCATTCAGCAGTGCATTTAATATCCTTTTAATGTGTTTAATATTAACAATCTCAGGACAGGATCACTGATTTAGATGTTCATGTTTCTGTCTTCAATATCTAGCTCACGGTCAGATACTAGGACCTGGGCAGTAAGTAAGTTTACTAACCAAGGCAGTAAATATGTAACAGTTCAATGAATGGATGGCCAACAATGGCCTGCACCTGTTTTGTGATATACTCACCTTTCTCATTTTCTATGGCTTCACCAAGGTGCTGGGCTTCCTCCTGAATGCGTTGCTCCAAGCTTTTCTTTCCTAAACCAAAGTTCCTTAGTGTTGCCAAGGTGAATCTTCTTTGTTCCTTCCATATCTGGCCATTGGACATGATCAATCCTGGGATAAAGAACACCAACATTATAGCATATCAATTCTGGTGTATCATTGGCAAAGCCAGGTGCCAGTAGCATGTGCCTGTAATTCTGGCTACTCAGGATGTTGAAATCTGAAGATTATGCTTCAGTGCTAGCCTAGACAGAAAAGACCATGCCACTCTTCTCTCCATTTAACCAGCAAAAAGTCAGAATTGTAGATGTGGTAAAGTGCCATACTTGAGTAGAAAAAGCTCAATGACGGCAACCATGCCCTGAGTCCAAGCCCCAATATCAGCACAACAGCAACAACAACCCCTATTCCCCCTACCAAGAAAAAACAACCCTTGGCAAATTGAATCTAAACATATGCCAAATGGAAAAAGAGGGGCTATAAGGGATCTAAAACAATTCAGAGAAATTATGACTATGCACATAATGGCTAACATTTACTAGCAGCTTGCAACCTGGGGGATTTTAGTATTGTCATTTCTTACTTAAGTCCATAAAATTCTACAGGTTAATTACCACCCCAAGGGCACATTTTCCCTAATGATAAAATTGAGGAAAGTGATTGTAGAGTAATATAAATTTCACTAGTGCATATACTTAGCAGCTAGCTAAGTAAGAGTTTAAATCCAAGTCTCTGAGAGTTTTGATTAGTGGTCACATAAGTATAGTTTATTGTTTATGTTGATTCAAACACAAGGGATGGAGGCACTCATGAAGCATTATCTTTCAAGTCATTACCATTAAGGAGGTATGGCAAGGCTTTCTAGGAGAGATCCTATCTAAGGAAGACCTTATACACTGAAGATATAACTCAAGAAAACAAGAAGATGAAGATTTCAAATAGAACAGCTGAAAAAATGTGAAGGAACATCCTGAGAAGCTCAGCCAATCATTATTTGTTCCATGGCCCAGATAATAAGAAGCTGCTTCCCATTTCTTTATTTTGAGAGCATTCCTTGATATCTTTAAACATCTTCCTGGGCCTATATGATTCCAATAAAATGGGATTTTTATTAAATACTTTTTTATTGTAAAAATAGTGTCCAGCAGGGTTACAGTTACATGAGTAAGGTAATAAGTACATTTCCTATCAATCATTGTTACCTCTTCCTTTGATTTTCCCCTACCATCCTTTCCCTCCCCACCTCCCTAACTTCTCCCTCCCTCCCTACAAGTTGTAAAGTTCATTTTCAACATAGTGTCTTGTACATCTCATTGTTACAATGGGTCGACCTGTAGCCCTATTTAAGCATTTTGTTTTTTCCCTTCCCCTCCCCCAATTAGAAAAGTGTACATTCAAGATGCAAGACACCAGAATCAAATACAGTGAAAACAGGGGTTATATCATAGGAGAAGAACATACAAAAGAAACAAAAAAATCACATAGTTCATTATAATTATCTTAAAAACAATAGCAAGAAAAAAATCCCACTTATGTTCCTGTCTTGGGGTTCATTTCACTTAACATCATCTTATATGGTCATATGTAAATAGCTTTTGAACTTGTCCTAGACACATACTAGTTATTGCAAATAAGGGAAACCATGGGACCTATGTTTCTTTGGGCCTGGCTTACTTCACATAATATAATTTTTTCCAAGTCTTTCCATTTCCTAACAAATGGGGCAATGTCATTCTTTCTGATGGAGGCATAGAATTCCATTGCATGCATACACACACACACACACACACACACACACACACACATTCTTGATCCATTCACCTACTCAGGGGCATCTGGGTTGGTTCCATGTCTTAGCTATGGTAAATAAGGCTGCAATAAACATAGTTATGCTGGTAGCTTTAGTGTGGTCTTGTTTGTGATCATTTGGGTAAATGCCCAAAAGTGGGATTGCTGAGTCATAGGGGAGCTCTATATGGAATCTTTTGAGAAACCTCCATACTGCTTTCCAAAGTGGTTGAACAGGTTTACACTCCCACCAACAATGCAGTAGGGTTCCCTTTGGCCACATCCCCTCCAGCATCTGTTGTTATTAGATTTCTTGATTATAGCCATTCTAACTGGGGTGAGGTGGAATCTCAATGTTGTTTTGATTTACATTTCTTTTATGGCTAGAGAAGTTGAGCATTTCTTCATGTGTCTATTGGCCATTCTTATTTCCTCTTCAGAGAAGTTTCTAAGTCTTTAGCCCACTTATTTATTGGGCAGTTGTTTCTTTGAGGATTTGTTTTTGGGAGATTTATTTTTTGAGTTCTAGGTATATTTTAGATATAAAACCCTTTTCCGTTGTATGGCTAGTGAAGATCTCAATCCATGGGCTTTCTATTGTTCTTGCTAGCTATGTCCTTTGCCATGCAGAAGCTCTGCAATTTCATACAATCCTATTTGTCCAAACTTTCAATTTGTTGTGTTTCTGGGTCTCTATTAAGAAAATTTCGGCCTGTGTCAATGAGCCCTAGAGTTTCTCCTATTCCTTCCTGTAATGTTTTCAGGGTGTCTGCTTTGACTTCAAGGTCTTTGATCCATTTGGAGTTGATTCTGGTGCAGTGTGATATGTAAGGGTATTGATATTGGTATTGATATTGATTTGTTTCTTTCTGTTAAGAATCGTTTTTGCTATTTGACATCTTTGATTGTTTCATATGAATTTTTGAATTGCTTCTTCTATGTCATTGAAGAATGACATTGGAATATTGATAGGTATCATATTAAATTTGTAGATCGCCTTTGGGAAATGGCCTTTCTTATTAGACCCAGAAAGCCCTATCTAACTCACATCATGTGTTCCTTCAGCAACTTTGGAATCTCTTTCTAGAAACACTCAATTCTGGTAGAGCTCAGGATCACATATTTCCAGATTTTCTCCCTAATCCTCTACCACTAACCTTTCTTATTTCTGCTAGTTAGTTTTCTTACATAAAATCTTGAAATGATGGAGATCTTTTACATTATGTCCAGGCAATGGGGCAAGGTGATGGACGAGAAATGTCTACCATTTCTATTCTGAGAATGAGAAAAGTTTGGTAACACAGGAGAAATTAGATTCATTAGAGATACTCTGGTTCCCTATGTTGATGGTCGAGTGGGTTAGTACCCTCATCCCAAAACTCTCTCTTAAAAGCAAAAATAGGCAAACCTAAAATTAGCATACAGAAAGAAAAATTTAAAAACCAAGACAGAAGTTAATGAAATGGAGTCTAAAAAAACTGTACCAAGAATCAGTGCAACAAAAGATGGTTCTGGTGGCATACACAGCTGGAATGGTGTGCCACCAGACACAACATACTGGAGCCACTACCACCACATTTTGTCACCACTGCCACCTCTGCGACAGCCATGAGCACAGCGAGCCTTGAGCTGCTAGCATCTGATCCAATTGCCCCTAGTCATGCTCTTCCTACCCTCACTACCCTCTGGCCCACTCAGCTCTACCACCATCAATGCACAATACTCTGTGTCAAAAATGGAACATGGAGTATCCTAAGGCTAAAAACTCTCTCTGAAGAATAATTAATAAGCAAAAATGACTTCAGTGGTAGAGGTTCTAAATCAAAATCCCTGTACCACACACACACATACACACACACAAAAGAAAAAGAAATAAATAAAAATAATGCTTAGGTAGATTATCAGAGTCTTGGTTCAGCTTTTAAATGTGTTATGTTATTTCATGGTAGGTTTAAGTAGTCGTGCCAGTCTGTTCTTGCATGGACTGCAAGGCTGGAATTCCCTGGGTGATGAGGCCATATAAACAGGGAATAAATAACTAGAGACAACAGAAGGAAGCAGTCACAGATTCATCTTCTGAGGGAAGAAGCTTGGAAAGGGAAAGAAGAAGAGAGAACAAAAGACATTCCACCCAATAGAATTGGGTGATACGGTTATTTCCTCATCAAAGTTTATGCAGAAGGATTTGGGGCAGGACATAGATGTCCTCAGCTGGCAGCTGGGAGCTGAGGATGTTTGAAAACTATAAACACAGACGTGCTCTTAACAGATCATAGAACTTCCAGTACACGCTTTATTATGACAAAGAAGCTTACCGTATTTATGAAAGGTACGTTCTCTGTGAGCGGAGATAGGACGGTTCACAAAGTTTTGTTCCATGTGACCACATACTTCTTTGATTAAGGGCAGTCCTGTTATAACCACGGAAGGTATAAGACCCAAATCCAGGCTTAAAAGGTTCCCATATTTTTTCACATACTGAAAAATAGTAAAATAGTAAAAACTGAATGTGTTTATATCTTATGTTCAGGGATAGTTGTCATGTGTGTAGCTAAAGGAGCTCATGTTGTGTTCATGTGTGTGTGGAAGGGTGCACCTTAGTCTCATTCAAGGCTGTCTGAACACAATTATGTATGATCATGTGCACATGCGTGTGCTCCTGCTCACAATAATGGCTTTATAAATATTCTCTTTAGAGAGGCTAACTGTGCAGAAAAATGGCATAGCAGACAATGACAATTACTATAGTGATGGTGTGGTAGAATTTAAAATTTTAAGGGAAGGTACTTTATCAATGAGCCTCCAGAAATGGTAGAATTAAAGAAATTCTACCAGATCCAGAGGCCAGAGTTGGTGATAGGTCTGATAAAGCATGCCTGACACACAACCAACATCTGGTACAACAGCTGGAACCTAGCATTTACATGTATCACAAAAATTAAAAGTCAGGCAACATTGGCTCATGCCAGTAGCCTTAGTTACTCAGAAGGCTGAAATCTGAGGATCATGGTTCAAAACCAGCCTGGGAAGGAAAGTTCATGAGACTCTTATCTCTGACTAACCACCAAAAAGCCACAAGCAGAGCAGTAGCTCAAGTGGTAGAGCACTAACCTGGAGCACAAAAGCTCAGGGACAGCACCCAAGTTCTGAGTTCTATTCCCAGGACTGGCACACATGACTGTGTGTGCCTGTATATGTGTGTGTGTGTGTGTGTGTGTGTGTGTGTGAACATAAATCTGATGGAAGGCCTATCAAGTTTTTAGTATTAATATGTCCTAAGTGAAAGAATATGAATTTAATTGTAATTAAATTAATCATTTAACTCAATTTGCTTTACAGTAAAAATTATAAAAATGCAGCAGATGAGGGTAGACCTTTTTATTTCTACTCCCCTGTAGTACCAATTCACCTTATTCTGAAGGCTTCTGTTTTATATTTTCATTACTCCTGTGAGACTGGCTTACACAAAGTATAGAGTCCCAGGATAGCTCTATAGAAGGCTAATAACCTAGAGCAGACAATCAGAAACACACCAGGCTACCTGATAAAGGAAAAAATATACACAGTACCTAGAGACAGTTCCATAACATGATATACAAAATATCCAGTAGATACTGTAATCCAAAATAACTCTCCTTATTGTGTAATAGTATTGGAGCATCTATCTTAATCAGACAAAACACAGTTTTGTCTGATAATAAATACTTTAGTAATGAATAATTAAAGTAGCTGTTTTAAAATGTTTTAATTATAATTGCTGAAACAATTGAGACAAAATGTTTCTTCTCAAGAAGAAACAAGATACACAGATGAGACAAAAGGAAATTTAGAGCAGAAAAATACAATAAACTAAGCACTACAAAATAGCTCAATAGAAAGTAGTAATGCCAAACATGAGTGAAAGTGAAGAGAGATTAATAGAAAATATCTGATCTGAACAACACAGAGAAAATGAATTGGAGACAACAGGGTCTAAGCCTGAGGGGCATTTGTCCCAATATTAAGAAATCTCACAGTTGTGCTCATAGAGTACAAAAGTTCCATGAAGAATATAAGAATATACAGTGTGTGTGTGTGTGTGTGTGTGTGTGTGTGTGTGTGTGTGTGTGTGTGGTCCTAGGGCTTGAACTCAGGACCTGTGTACTATACCTGAGTTTCTTTAGCTTAAAGCTAGCTCTCTATTACTTGAGCCACAGCTCCATTTCTGGCTTTTTAATTTTTTTTAAAAAAAAATTTATTGGAGATACGAGTCTCACAGACTTTTCTGTCAGGGCTGGCTTTGAACCATGATCCTTAGATCTCAGCTTCTTGAGTAGCTGGGATTACAGGTAAAAGCAACTAGTGCCTGGTAGAAAACTATTATCATGCATCATTAAATGAGCCTTGATATATTTAAAACAATTGAAATCATATGCAGTATATTTTCTGACCATAATGAATTATACTAGAAAGCATTAACAGAACAATAATAGGAAAATATCCAATAACATTTTCATGAGCAAGGCAGAGTTTTAGGAGTTTAACTTTATCATTCTGTGAGTAATTCTTCAAGTAGTACCACCACTGACTGTTTCTGCCCTCCTGCGTATGCAAAGACATTGGCAATGTTCAAAATACCCTGTGCCTCACTAGGGATAGGGAACCATTACTTGGTCTTGCACAAACTCTACCCTGTTGAATATTTCCTATTGAATCTTCCTAAACATCAGCTAATGTCTCTCCAAGATGTTGGTGCTGAGAGGCAGAAAGGTCAGCTGAGGAATCTTGAATACATTTAGACGTTTGAGCGAGCATCAAAGAGTAGGTAGGAGTCCTGAGAGATAGGAAGTGCTGGGCTGGAGATGTTTATATAGGGGGATAGAGGCTAGGTAAGAAGGGTCCCAGCACTGGTAAAAAAGGTGAACCCCACTTGTAGGCAGTGTATATGGCACTGAGAAAGTTGTAGGTTAGGATGAATTTTCAAGTGATTTCTTTCTTTTTCTTTTCTTTTTTTTTGTTGGTCATGGGACTTGAACTCTGGCCCTGGACCCTGTCCCTCAGCTCTTCAGCTCAAGGTGAGCTCTCTACCACTTGAGCCACAGAGTCACTTCCGGTTTTCTGGTGGTTAACTGGAGATAAGAGTCTCACAGACTTTCCTGCCCAGGCTGGCTTTGAACTGTAATCCTCAGATCTCAGCCTCCTGAGTAGCTAGGATTATAGGTGTGAGCCACCAGGGCCTGGCTACAAATCACTTCTTTCCTTAGGAATCACTGCAGAGGGGTCTGGGGAGAGGCCAGAGGTCTAGGGGCTCAGTCACTGGAGGGAAATAATTCAGCTGAGCACTGAGAGGATTTAGATGTCTCTCATTTATAGAGGGTGGAGCCCCCCAGAACAAAGTGTACTTAAGGATAAAAACCTAGGACGAGGTAATCACATTGTAAGATGAGTCAACACGGTTTAGCAAGATAGCACACAATTAAGGGCCTTAAAGGAAAGAACATATCTGGCAGACTTAAATAGTAAGCACAGAATTCCAGAGCAGCACTAGAAAGAGCAGGTAGATCGATTGACAGGCCAGGAAGAGGGGGCTCCAAGCAGGTTCGCAGGTGGCCAGTCGCCTTCCTACCTGCTGAAGTTGCAATTCCACTTTCTTCAAGTCTAAGTGAAGTAAGTGGCCCACAAAGGGCAGGCGCCTGGGCCCTGGTGGGTAGTGTTTTGGTCGCCGGCTCTTGAGGAAGTCAGCAAGGAAAAGAAAGATGACAGCCCCCAGCAGGAGAGTCCGCAGATGGAGAGTTGCCCAGAAGGCAGCCACCAGGGAGCCCAGGCCTGCCAACATGGCTGTGAAGTCCAAGGGCTCCTCTGGTGTCTGACCTGTCACCACCCAGGAGCTCCTAACTTTTCCTCTTCCACTCCTGGCCACGCCCCCTCTATACTTAGCTTCTCTCCGCCACACCCCACCTCTCACAGCCAAGCTCCTCTGGCCTTGCAGGGTCCATGTCCTCCTGCCACTCCAGTTGCTGCTGTCTGCAGGGCAGCCTCCTCCCATTTGTCCTCAAGCAGGATTCTCCACTACACCATGCATTGCATGGGCCTGCTCTGGCCTTACCCTGGCGCCCCAGGACTCTCTGAACCTTCTCTTTTTCTTTCTCCTCCAAGGTCCTCCTCTCCCAACAGCATCCTGTCTACCTCTCTGCTTACCAGCTCAGCCCTGTATTTTGTATCCCCAGGAAGAATCCACACTGAGCTCCAAAACGCCAACTAAGACATTGTTTTGATCGAATTGACCGTCCATCTTTCTCCCCAACATTGTGGTGTATGACATAGGACATAAGATTTCCAGACATCTCAGATATTTCAGTTGCTTTTTTCCAATCATCATCTTGCTCAGAGATTGCAGTCTGCCTGGTGACAACAGATTTTTACATCAATCAACCCCCCTGTTGCCCCCCCACCCAATTACACATCTCAGGAAAACAGAGGTTAAATCTGGAGGGCAGCATACAGCTACAAGCCCAATACTTAGTTCTACACCATCCAGAGCTCTTAACAATATTCTTACAAACAAAGAAACATTATTTTTTTAAAGAATAGAAAAGAAGAATTTGGGAAACAGGTCCAATATTAAGTAGTATATGGTGGTGAATTTGTGGGCAGAAACATCCCAAGAGGGGCTGTGATTCGAAGTTTTTTTTCAAGATTACAGAGCATTGCATTTAAGTCTCCACCAGGCTTCAGGGTCTTTACTAAGGAAGCAGCTCCTCAGAGAACATCAGCATCACATTGCGTAGTTACACAGAAGGCCGGGGCTGTGAATAAGTCTCAATGCAGTGTGGGAAACTTTGTGACACTTAAGTGGCACACAGTATAACACAGAAGATGAAGCTGTGGTTGGATTGGACTCTTAATCAGGCTGGGGTTACTTATGAGTAGTATCTGTTCTTTACACATGATTAGTTAATTCATTTGGGCTTATGATTTTTTGTTTGGGAAATGCTGCTAATTTGTCTATAAGTATTCTATATCTATGCAGATTAGCTATACTTAAGTCAGTGTTGGTGATTTTCAGTGTGAGTGATTTTCTTTTTTAAAGACCTTTATCATTTCCTCTGTTAGGTTGTTATAAAATATATTAATTCATTGTAATTCTTTTTCTCTAAAGAAGGTCATTAGTGCTGTCACTCCTATATTAATTATCTTTGAACTCTCTTGTACTTTGAGTTTCTATTCGGTTTACCTAAAGTTTTCCCAATTTAATATTTTTTTCAAAGAATTAACTTTTGGGATTCCATGTGTATTTTTTTCATTTCTCCATTTCATTTATTTCTTATTGAATTACTTATTTTTATTCATTTGTATAATTTCCTTTCTTTCATGAACTTCTTAAATGTAAAATGATAGACAATCTTTTTAAATGTACATGCTTAAGATAATATGTTTAAATAATATGTTAGTTGATTTCCACAAGTTTTAATATATTGTGCTTTTATTTTAATCATCGCAGTGTGTTCTCTAGCATACTTAATGATTTTGCTCTGACTCACTGGTAGTTTTGGCCTTTTATTTTTTGTCAGTCATGGGGCTTGAACTCTGGGTCTGGGCACTATCCCTCAGCTCTTCAGCTACCACTCTACAACTTGAGCTACAGTGCCATTTCCAGTTTTCTGGTGGTTTATTGGAGATAAGAGTCTCACGTACTTTCCTGCCCAGGCTGGCTTTGAACCGCCATCCTCAGATCTCAGCCTCCTGAGTAGCTAAAATTATAAGCATGAGCCACCGGTGCCCAGCCCTTGGCATTTCTTATTTACTTCTAAATTATTATTTAGGATCTTTTCATTGTTTAGTAGTTAGCAAGGGATGAAAGACACCCATTTGTGTGTTTTATAGATAGGCAGTGTACCAATAAATTTTGTTTTTGTTTTTCTGTGTCTTCATTTCCCTAGTGTTCTTTTTTTTTTCTCTTCTTTTTTTTTTCTTGTGAAAATACCGTACAGAGGAGTTACACTTACATGGGCAAGGTAATGAGTGCATTTCTTATCAAGCATTGTTACCTCCTCCTTTGTTTCCCCTTCCCATCCCTTCCCATCTCCCCCCCCCACCCCCAATACACACCCCCTCCCCCCGGCCAAAGTTGTAAAGTTCGTTTTTCGACATAACAACTTGTACATCTCATTGTTGCAATGGGTCTACCTGTATCCCTATTTAAATGATTTGTTTTGCCCTTCCCCTCCACAGATTATACCAACATCAAATACAGTGAATGCAGGGGTTATACTATGGGGGAGGGACATACAAAGCAACAAAAAATCATATTATAAATATGTTCGAAACAATCACAAGGAAGAAAAACCTTTCAAGTGGTATGAGTGCTAGCCTTGAACTGAAGAGCTCAGGGACAGTGCCCAGGCCCAGAGTTCAAGCCCCATGACCAACCAAACAACCAACCAACAAAAACACATGTCCCTTGTGTTCTTATAGCATAGATTTTCTGGGTATAGGACTGTTAGATGGCTGCATTGTTTGAACACTTTCAATATATCATCCCACTGTGAAATAGTTTCAAGTGAGCATCCAGCTGACAAACCTAACACACTTCTTTCTTATGTTTTCAATATCTTCTAATTGTCTTTGGATTTTGACATTGATGCTGGTATATCTAAGGGAAGATCTCTTTAAATTTATCCTAGATGTAATTTGTGGACATTGCATCTGCTGGTTAATACTTTGCATTAAATGTGGCTATTTGGGGCCCATTGTTTCCTGAGATAAAATCTTTCAGCTTCCTATCCAGCTTTCTTTCTTTCCTTTTTTCCTGTTGGTTGTGGGGCTTGAAATCTGCGCTGTCTCTCAGCTCTTCAGCTCAAAGCAAGCACTCTACTACTTGAGCCACAGCATCACTTCCAGTTTTCTGAGCGGTTTATTGGAGATAAGAGTCTCACAGAGTTTCCTGTCCAAGCTGGCTTTAACTAAGATCCTCAGATCTCAGACTCCTGTATAGTTAGGATTACAGGTGTGAGCTTATCTAGCCTTCTCATTGTTTCCTCTCATGCACTTCTAACACATTTAATGACTTTCCACAGTCTCAAAAAGCTCAGCATGGAGCTGGGAAGGTGGCTTAGTGGTAGAGCGCTTGCCTTGCATGCCTAAGGCCCTGGATTCGATTTCTCAGCACCACATAAGCAAAAAGCAAAAGACCAGAAGTGGTGCTGTGGCTCAAGTGGTAGAGTACTAGCCTTGAGCTGAAGAGCTGAGGGACAGCGCCCAGGCCCAGAGTTCAGGCCCCACAACCGGACCCCCCACACACAAAAAAAAGCTCAGAACATTTTATTTTCATTTTTATTTCCTTTTGTTCCATAGACTACATAAATTCATCAATCAATCTTGAAGTTTACATTCTTCCTTCTGCCAGTTCAAACACATTGCTAAGTCCTTCAAGTAAGATAGAAATTTCTGTTATCACATTTTCAACTCTAAAGCTTCTAGTTATTTGCTTTTGACAATAGTTTCTACTCTCTCATTATGATTTTCTATTCAGTGAGAAATCATCCTGACACTTTCTATTCTATAGGCAAGGTTTCTTAAAGTTCTTTAAGCATATATATTAAAAGCTTCTATCCAATGACTGGGGTTCTCCAGGAGCAGTTTGTAATAACTGCTTTTTCTTAACCTTATGAATGAATTATGGTTTCCCTTTCATTGCATGGTTCATAAGTTTTGTTGAGAATTCTGGAATTTTAAATGATATGTCAAACTCTAGAAATGAGACACAGCACACATTAACTTAAGAGCTATTATTTTTATTGCTTCATGTTAAGAGACTTTAGACTAAGTTTGTAAAAAAAAAGTCCCATTTTTCGTCACAATTAATCACTGGATTCTCTGCTCTGGTAGCATACTGTTCCATGGATTTGAGTCCATTTTTATCACATGCATTGAACTCTTTTATCATGCATTCTCTCCCATAATTCAAGGTGTAGGTTGGCTAATACCATTTAATCTGCAACAGAAAGCTCATTGCTCTATCTTATCCTACAATTCCTACTTAAACCTTCAAGGTCATCTACAAGTGAGAGACGAAGGCATTTTAGATCTTTTTCAGTCCATGCATGTATATGGCCTTCCAGATTTTTAAAAATATGTTGGCATTTGGAAGCTTCACTGGGCATCCCAGTCAACATCAAGATCATGTGCGCACAGCTCTGAGACATAGGAGAGGCCTTTTGGCAAACTCTGGATTTTCTCAAAGTGCCATGTCTGACTCATTGATTCCTTTTCAGCATGTTCACTCGAGCTGTCTGAACACCTACACACAAATACATGTCTATGCAAGAAAGCATAGCTTAGTTTTATGATGTGATTATGGCTTACAAACCACTTTAAATCTAATATATTCCCTAATTCTTGTAAAAAAAAAACTTTGTTTCCTCAAGAAATCACGATTCTCCTGTCACCTCAGAGATTTAAAGATAAAACACAGACCACATAAATGATTTGCACAAAGCTGATAGGGAAACAATAGTAGTGTGGAAAATGAGACTCTGTATACTTTGACCCAATTCCTCTTATCTTTCTTCTAACCAAGCTTCATTTTCTCCCTTTATATCTGATTGGGCACACACCATTTTTTCTTGGTCTCCTTTCAATTTCCTTCTCCTACAACCTCATGGTCTAGGGATGGCACAGATGCGGTGGTTCACTGGGGAAAGGGTGAGGCCGGGTCTGAACTTTAGGCTTAGTTTCTCATTCTTTGGAGGTCTGAATGTAAATTTTTGCACAAGGGAAGTGAAGAAGATAAAGAGCTCAGACCTAGCTAATTGTTCTCCAAGGCAAACTCGCTTT